GAGACAAATGGCCCTGGACGAGCGTGCTCAGGACTTGTCCGTCAAGGCCTGGGAGGGAGCAGCCGACAGAGCATTAGGGTGCCAGGGCTCGCAGCGAGGGTGGGGTTGCAGGGAGAGGCCTAGGAGGTCTCTTTGGCCTTCCCAAACAGTGTGGTTTCCCAAGGGCACTGAGGCTTCGCTGAGTCTGGGAAGAGTCTGAGTGGGTGGGAGAGCCAGGGCAGCTGATGCAGGCGCCTGCCCCAAGCCCACAGCATTTGCATTAAGTGGAGGATGCTCAAGACTAGGTCAGATGCCAGCTGCTCAGGTGCTGGACCACACGCACAGACCCGACACAGAGCCTGCACGGTGGCCACCCTGTCATCCCTGCAACTGGGGAGACTGAGGCAGGAGGATTGCAAGTTCCAGGGTAGCATGAGCAGCTTAGCAAGACCCTCATCAACTTGGCGAGACCCTGCCTCAAAATAAGAATACTAATAATTTTTTAAAAGGGATATAGCTCAGTGGTAAAGCTGGGGATATAGCTCAGAGGTAAATCTCCAGTATAAATGAATAAAATAAAATGGAACCAGGCAAGGTGGCACATACCTGTAATCCCAATGACTTCAGAGTCTGAAGCAGGAGGATCACAAATTTGAGGCTAGACTCAGCAACTAGCAAGAGCCTCCCAGTGGGGATGGCCCCCTCCAGGATAATAAGAAAAAGGCTGGGGATGTGTCTCAGTGGTAAAGTGCCCTTTGGTTCTATCCCCAGTACCAACACAATTTTATTTTATTTTTAGAGAGAGAGAGAGAGAGAGAGAGAGAGAGAGAGAGAGAGAGAGAGAGAGAATTTTTAATATTTATTTTTTAGTTTTTGGCGGACACAACATCTTTGTTGGTATGTGGTGCTGAGGTTCGAACCCGGGCCGCACGCATGCCAGGCGAGCGCGCTACCGCTTGAGCCACATCCCCAGCCCTACAATTTTAAATAAAAGAATAAAAAATAAAAATAAATAGAAAGGGCTGGGGATAGAGCTCAGTCATCCAGTGCCCCTGGGTTCAGGGTCTCCAAGGCATTGAGGGTTGATGGGGCATGTCTGCAGGGTGGGCAGCTGGAGGAACAGAAGCTAACCAATGGTGGGAATGGTGGCAGATCCCACGAGCCTCAGTGCCCGGTGAGGATGGTCCAGACACAGGGTTTGTGGCCGTGAGGGAGAGAGAAACTTCCAGAAGAGAGGCAGGCCAGGGCACTTGAATCCAGAAGCCAGRCGTGGCTGGATCTCTATCTTTGGAGAGGGGTGTTTGTAGAGGCAGGATCGTGACACGGCCCCACATACCTCATCACTGTGAGGCCACAGTGGCCACAGCATCGGACCACGGAGGACTCTGAGTACCACTGAGGGTTTGAACTTCCTCCAGTGGCTGGTGGGGAGGGAAGTGGCTGCCAGGTCCACAGTGACTGCCACCCCTTGTGGTGCAAGGATGGGCAGGAGCTAAGGGAGGCCTGGGGCAGGCCGTGGACCAGCCAGCAGGGACAGCACCTAGCACAGGAGAGAGCCAGGTCCCTCCTGGCCCACAAGAGGTGCTGCTACAGGGGGTGGCAGCCCACATGCAAAGCCTTCTGGGTCTGGTCCTGGGTCACGCCCCCTGCCCTGCCCAGCCCCAACCTGGAATCCACGGACTCTTTGCATTCCTGCAAGCTGGAGAGAGGGCTGAGTCCTCAGGTGTGCCCTGCACCCAGGAAGGGAGGAGGGAGAAGGCAGTGGGGGCCTCAGCTCTGGGGTGACAAGACTCAAGTGCGGCCATGCCTCTCCTGAAGGTCAGCTGGTAGGGCAGCAGGCCCTTGTGCAGGGCTGGGCAGCCTTCYTTCGTCAGCAGGTTGGGGCCCCCAGGTGAGTCTCTGAGCGGGGTGRATCTGGGGCTGAGGGGTGCTGGTGGGAACTGCAGCCTGGTGCCTCCCCGATGACTCTGTCTTCCACTGAAGTCCAGCCGCATGACAGGAGGTCAAGGGAAGGGAAGGGAGGTTCCTGGTGAGTGTGAGGGTGACCTGCTGGTGGCCAGTGCATGTGCAGATGTCAGAGCGGCTGGCCCCATGTGGGTGCCTGGCTGTGGGTCTGTCCTGTCAGGCCAGCCGCCTCAGCGTCTGTGGTGGGAATGTGGTCTGGGTCTGGGTTTTGGCAGGACTGGGGATCAAACCCAGGGCCATGCACAAGCCAGGCCAGTGCTGTACCACTGAGCCACAGCCCAGCCCAGCTAGGGCACTCTCCTCAGCTGGGTTCTGCTGGGTGGGCTACACAGGAACAGCGTGACCAGAGAAGAGCCAGGAGGGATGGACAGGGTCAGGAAATTGGTTGTTTGTCCCTACATGCAACCGACTGCTCCATCACACCTGAGCAYCCTCTGAAAAGCAGGGTAGGCCATTCTCTGTGCCAGGAGTTACCCATTGGCTCTCACTGATTGAAAGTCAGTCTCATGCCCTTCTGAGGCGGGCACAGTGGGCATGGGGTGGGTATCATGTCTGTCCATCAAAATAGCTCTGGGTAGGYGCAGGGTGGTAGGTGTGGGAGGAGCACAGAATCAGCAGCTGGGGTGACATCATTGTTGAGAGACTGAACATGGCTCAAGGCTGTGGTCAGTGGTCAGTGYCATGCAATGGCATCTAATGAAGGCCCTGACCTCACACTTCTTTGGGGCCCTGCTATGTGAAAGTGACTTGCTGGCCCAGGGGGTGCAATGACCTGAAAGAGCTCCAGGAGCCCCCAGAGCCTCTAGGCCCATGGCCACATATGGTCCCACCCCAGGAGGCCATGGCCATCACAGAGATGCCCAAGCATGGTGACCTGGGTAGTGAGGAAGGGCTCTCTGGGGAGGGAATTTCTGAGGTGTCCAAAGAGAACGAGAAGGACTTGGGGGGATGGCAATGTACTGGGGATGCCAGCTCAGGGCCCTGAGTGCAGGGCACAGTGGAGGTGCAACAGTGAGGAGGGGTGTGGCTGCCCCAGCCCTGTGGTGATCATGCCACCCATGACCGCCAGGGGAAGAACAGAGTGGCCAGGGCCCGGTGTGGTGGCTCACACCTGTAATCCCAGTGGCTGAGGCAGGAGGATCGCTCAGCAATGGTGAGGCACTAAGCAACTCAGTGAGACCCCATCTCTAAATAAAGTACAGAATAGGGCTGGGATGTGCTGTGGTTGAGTGCCCCTGAGTTCAACCCCTGGTCAGGCTCCCAGGCCCAGTCCCTAGACCTGGATGCCCATGTCTCTCTTCTCTGTTCCTGGTGGGAGCCCCCAAGGCACAAGAGGACACAGTCTACCAGGGATTTTTTAACTGGACAAATAGCAATCCTTTGTTTGAATGGTCTGTCCATCATCAGCTGGTGGGCAAGCAGGAGGCAGAGCAGGAGTGCTATGGACAGCAGGGGCCAGGCAGGCTCCCCTCGCCCCTGCTGGTCCCACCTCTCCCTGCCTGGCCAAGTAGCCAAGTTCTGTTTCTGAGGGTCCACCCTCATTTGGCTAGGTGCATTCTGTGAATAGGGGGAATATGTATATAGCAAACCATGAAAGCAGCCCCAAAAGGTGACCCCAGAAAGGGCTTGCCTCCAGAGGGCAGGCCGGCAGGGGGCTTTGGTGCAGTGGTAATATTGTATCTTAGAGACTGTTTCCTATTGGTGTTCCTAGATGGTGGGTTGAACTGCTACATAGTTCTGCTCTGAAAGATACACTTTTTCTCACCAGCTCCTGTGACTAGACCTTTTTGATCTTTTGCTACTTTAACAATTTTGGACACATTTGTAAGAAAATCACAACAGAGTTCTGAAGCTTCCCTTCTCTTTGCAGCAAATATTTTGGGGCCAAATCACAGAGTGGGTCTCAGAAAAATAGTCAGGATTTGAAACCTAGACCTCCCATGAAGTTCTGCATTTCTGGCTTTTGGGGAAAAGTTGGAGGGTCTGATCCTGTGATCAGCTCACATCAGTTGACTGTGCCCTGAGGCTCAGTGGTGGTCTCTCTTGGTCCTTACATCCCTTGCCCCCAGACTCCCTCATTTCCTAATGCAGCTGGGCTGGGGACCCAGGGCCTGAGCCCAGCGACAGGGTCTATGCTCTTCCCCTCTCTCCTCTCCTGCCCATCTTCAGGGYAGACGAAGGCTGAGAAGGCTGAACTGAGAAGGCCCAGGTGATGTACTCAGCACACCCTGACTGGGGACCCACTCCTCCATTCAAGGGGATAAGCAGGTGTCTGGCTGCAGTTTCCACTGTCTATGGCAAAGGGATTAAGGCCAAACCGCATGGTGGTGGCAGGTGTGGCTGGAACAAGTCCCCAGGGCCCAGTTCAGACAGCACTGGGACGCAGCAGGCATTCYGAGTCCTCCATCCCAGCTACCATGGCCACTCGTCCAACCGGTGGGAGCTCCTAACTACCCACAGTCCCCAGGGGGCGCTGTGTTCTAGCGTCCTGGGGAGCAAAGCGAAAGTCGCTCCSGCCACGCGGGGTGCAGTTGCGCGTGGGTGCTGCCCAAGGAAGCCGGGCCCTAGGGAGCCTTTCTGTAACACCCGGGCCCTGGGCCACCCAGGTAGAAGCGCCCCCCACCACCGCACACACACGCTGAGCAGCAGTGCTAGGTTCCTGGGAGGGTGGGGGTCTTCTCGGGACTTGCTCTGGTCGGAGGTGTCCCGGGTCTGCGCGGCAGCCGGGGCCTAGAGGGCTGGTGTGCGCGCGGGCGCGTGGGACAGCCGAGGGGATGCCTGGGCGCGCCGGGCCGTCGGGGGAAGCGCGGAGGCGGGCACGCCTGGGAGGGCGGGGGCCGAGCTTATAAAGGCCCGCGGGCGGGCGGAGGGCGGGAGCCACCGAGCCGCCGTCCGGCCCAAGTTGGCCTCTGCAAGCCGCGCTGCGCTCCGCCGCGGGCAGGCTGACTCCCGAGCGCTCGGGCCCCGACCGTCGGCACCGGAGGGCGCGGCGCCGCCGGCCCGAGGAGGAGGCGGCGCGAGGGTCCCGGCGGGCCAGTCGGGGGTCCGGGCCGCGCCGCGCGGCACGTGCGGAGACCCGCCCAGTGCGCCATGGAGCGCCGACCCCCGGCCTCCGCGCCTCGCCCTAGCGCCTCGCCTTAGCGCCGCGGCGGCGCGACCCTAGGCCGTCCCCATGGAGCCGCACGTGCTCAGCGCCGTGCTGTACTGGCTGCTGCTGCCCTGCACGCTCCTGGCCGGTGAGTGGGGGGCGGCTGGACCGAGAACGGAGCTGCGTCCTGGCTCCCCATGTCCCGGCTGGGCCGCCGAGCGAGGCCCGCGGGGCCAGGGCTGCCAGCGGGCGGGAGGGCGCGGAGATTCCCCGGGACGCGCGGCCCTGGGCGCCCGCATTCCAGAAGCATGAGACCGCGGGCGGCCGCGGCGAGCCCGGCGCGGGGTGGAAGGCGGCGGCGAGGTGCACCGYGGGCGCCCAGGACCTGGCGTTTGGGCTCTGGGAGGAGGGGCCCGGGGGAGGGGGTCTGTTTGTCCCTAGAAGAAGGGCCGCTGAGATGGTGGTGGGGTGGGGAGTAGGAATCTCTCTTTCTCTCTTTTGTGTTAAAAAAAAAAAAGTGCAAACTTGCATCACGACTTCCTGACCAATCTGGGAGCAGGCGGCTTCCTGCCTGGAGCTGTTTAATTTGGAGTTTTCCTAGCAGAACTAACGTCCAGCCCTGGGCACGGCCCCTGGCCCTACCCCTGCTCCGACTGAGGCAGTCCCTGGCTTTGGAAAAGTACTTAGGGTTCCTCCTCTTCCTCGTGCCCTTTTTGGCTTAGTTCCAGAGGACCTGGGACAGGCCTGTGCCCTGCTGTGGAACAGGGCCACCCCTGGAGGCTCTGGCCTGGCACCAGAGGTCCAGTGTGAAACCCTGGTCTGTCCCTTGCTTGTCAGAAAGCACAGCCCCCCCCCCCCTTCTTAGAGGAACACCTCTGCAATCCTCCCTGCCTGGGCCTTGCCCAGGGCACAGTGCCCAAGAACTCACCCCTCCACCATCCCTCTGGTCAGCTCCGCCCCACATGTGACCCTCTGCAAGCCTGGGCTTACCCAGAGAAACAGCAGTTGGCCTTGGGGAAGCCTGTCCGCAGTGTGCACACCCTGGTCCTCCGTGGGGGGGCTCCTAGCCGCACACCCTTCCTGAGCCTTCCCGGGAGTTCACTGTCCACTCTGTTCTAGGTAACCAGGTAGGCTCCCTGGAAGCTGGGGACCTGGTGTGGCCCAGGCAGATAGGACGCAGCTCCCCAAATGCTGGGGACCCAGCACAGCCTGGACAGAGAGCACTTGGATTTGCAGCACCAAAAGGTGGCCAGATGTGGGGAGATGTTCAAGGCAGGAATCAATGGGAGCCATTGAGGTTGGGAAGGAGGGCTCTGGAGCTGTCCTCAATGTGGCCAGCCCCGTGGGGACCACGCCACCTGGACTGTGCTCAGGAGCGCGCTGGGTCAGAGGCCCACACTGCTGGCCTGTTCTCCCCTGTGCCTGTAGAAAGCCAGAGGGCCAGATCAAGTGGCCTGGGCAGGCACAGGGTCAGAGTTTAGAAGCAGCTGGCCCCAGKAGCGTTCTTAAAGGGGCAGGCTCACCTGAGTCTGTCCTGTGGCACTGCAGCCCCGGGGACTCCAGCACTGTGATTTGGAAGCACCTGAGTTGGGGTTAGGCGGATCTTCCCTTTTCTTCCTCTGAGTCGGAGGGAGGGCTTCTTCCTGAAGGGGCCGCCCCTTTCTGAGGGTGGGCTGTTTTCTCTCTCTGGCCAGATGGTAAATATTTCACATGGTGGAATAGAAGTCCGATACTGTTCCAGCCCTTAGAAATGTGAAATCCATCCCTAGCTCGTGGACAGCACTGGAGCAGGCAGCAAGGCCAGGTCAGGTGGGCGGCAGGTCTGTAGTCCCCGAGGGACAGCAGKGGCCTGCAGCCTCCTGGCTCCTTGCCACTCTGCGTGGGCCAGGCCCGAAGCTTTAGCTCTGGGAGGTGTCTCCGGCTGGGGGTTCCCACCCGGCTGTTAGTCACCTGGGGAGCTTTAAAAGTGATTGATGACTAACTCCCTGGACTTTCCCTAAACCTAAAATTGCCCCCAAATAGAGTTTTTTCATGAAAAAAGTACTGATGCGCAGGCCACGCCCCACCTGGTCTGTGCTGGGCCTGGGGCTGGGCCTGTAGCTGGGGGAGGGGACACCGAGCAGCCTCTAGGCACTCCTGAGGGAGCTGCTGTCCGGCTGATGGCAGGGTCCAGCTGGCCTGGCTGGAAGTGGGATGGGGGGGCTCTCTTGAGTGTTGGTTCTGTGGTATTTTGGAAAGGAGGCCTTCAGAGGGATTAGTCACCTTGTGCTGGGTGAGAGTGTGAGTCATCCTCCGTCACCCAGCCCCCATGACACTCCCCCTACAGGATTACTACCTGAGAAGCCTCAGCGAGAACTGGGGTCATCTGGAGCAGCCCCACCCCTTGTCCCAGAGCCCTGGGTGCTCTGGACGCGGAGCTGGAGCAAGCTTCCAGCCAGGCTGAGGAAGGACGGGGAGAAGGGCCACCGCTCTGACCCCTGGCCTAGCTGGGCAGCCAGAGCAGCCATCAGCAGTGGCAGGGTGGTGCAACCCAACTGTGAAAGCCATGCGTTTGGGCAACGTGGCTTCTGCTTTCGGTTGCCAGTGGCACAGGCTGGTGGGYACACCCAGCCCGCTGGGGACAGCACGGGGGCAGGCCTGATGGCACGGAGAAGACAAATCCTTCTCTGATATTGATCCCCCCAGCAGCAGAGACTTGTCACACTCCCCGGCAGCTCCACTGGGCTCTGGGCAGTGAGAGGACCTGATAGGACTGCCCAGGAGCAGTGTTTGTGGGTGGCTGGATCTTGGGTCCCAGTGCCAGAACTTGGCCTCCGGAGCCGGGCGAGGTCCCACTTCCCATTGCAGCCCTGGGGGCTTCCTGCCGAGTGTCAGCTTCCTGTGTGGCAGAGGGGAGGGCCATCCCTCCAGGCTGGGCCTGAGAGGCTGAAGAATAAACAGGACAGAACCAGGGAGGGCCTGCCTACACAGTGTGCGTGTCTGGGGGAGGGACCAGGGACCCTGGAGCTGAGGCTAGACCACCGTGGCCTTCCTGAAGGTGGTCACTGGCGCCCAGCACTGGGGAGCCAGGTCCAGCTGGAGAGTCCTGCAGAGGAAGCATCCTTGCTGGGTGGGTGGAGGTGCTGGCCCCTGACCCTGGCCCCAGGCTGCTTCCTGGGTGGGCCCCCTCCGTCCAGGTCCCTCCTGTAGATCCTGACCACCGTGGCCTGCGCTCATCCCCTTTTGACACATCTGTTGTAGAAATGTGTAATTAGGCAGTCAGTTTTTTTTTTTTTTAATATATGCTTTTCTTATTACTAAGAAATGAGAACCTTTCCTCGMGGTGAGGAATCCAGGCTTCAGTCTGAGCGGATGGCGGCAGCTCCTAGCCAGTACCTCCCGCTGGAGCCCGCTGGAGCTGGTGTTTTCCCCCGAGGCCGGCAGTCGAGGCCGGCACTCACAGCCGGCAGCTGGGCCCTGGTGAGATCTGTCGGGGTTGCAGCCTGTCCATTTGAGCCCTGGCCTGTCCTGCCCCTGCGCCCTGGGCAGGGGCCACTCACCCTCCACACTCGCCCTCTCTCACTCTTTGAACCCGTCAGCCTCAGAGCAGCTGGACAGCCTCTTCTGCATCGGGAATCTGGACTGCAGGAAGTTTTCTCTCAGCCCGAGATCCCCAGGGGAGGTGACACCCGGGGTGAATCCTTTCCTTCCCCGAGTCCACACCTCCTGCTGCAGACGCACCTGCAGGTGCTGGGGTGGAAGGTTGCTGGGAGGACAGGGGAGGAGGCTGCAGGGAGGTGCTCCTGGGCGGAGGCTCGGCCTGGCCTCTCCTGCTCTGAACGTGCCAGCCCTCACCCTCTTACTGGGCCTCAGTTTCCTCCCCTGAGGGAGGAGGGACTGTGGAATCTTTAAGGTGCTTGTAGGTCTTTGATCTCTGGTCTCAGGTTGTGGATGTCGGGCCCAGGCAACAGCATGGGGCTGGGGCTGGCTGATCCTGGGGGTGGGGCCGTCGGGCCTCCCGCCTCGCCTGGGGGTGGTTCCACACCCACGCAGGTCCCTCTGCTCTCCCTGGCCTCTTCCSTGTGTCCTCCTGTCCTGGTCTGTGGGAGGCACTCTGGGTGGTGCCAGGAACCTGGGGGCTGGCGCCCACTCCTCTCCAGCTGGCCCAGTGTTCTGCAACCATCCCAGCATCTGTCCACAAACTGCAGCTCTCTCCAAAATGGGGTCCCCAAACAATGCCACCCCAAACAGGGTCCCTGTCAATATCATCCAAGGTCGGGTCCCCTAATGCACCTAAAATAGTCTTCCCAGCCACGCAGATGGGCCTCCCTGCATACACCTAGGTGCGCAGGGGTCAGGCGGACAGGCCTGGACTGTGGCCCTGGCACCATGCTCTGAAGGCCAGGCAGCTTGGGTGTGCAGGGGAGACCCGTGGGAGGGGAGTGCTGTGAGGCTGGGGAGAGGTGGACAGAGGGTCAGGGAGTCCTGCCTGGCTGGAGGGAGCCATCTTACTTTGAAAATACAGCAGATACTTCTCCCCCTCCGTTTACACAAACCTGGCCAATGCTTAACAGCCGTTCAAAGAGGAGGTTCATGAAGACTCAGATGAGTCTCGGGGAGCCACGCGTCTGGCTGCATGCGACCTGACCCCTCGACGTGTGCTTCTCCCGTGTGTGTGTGTGTGTGTGTGTGTGTGTGTGTGTGCGCGCGTGTGTGTGCGCGCGCGCACACCTGGGTCGGGGTCATCCTGTGACCAGCACAAAGATCACCCCGGTAACTGACCAGAAGACGGAGCCCTTGTGACAGCGCACTGTCATAGAGGTCGCGAAAGCCTATGGGACGTTCATTATGGAATCTCCCACCCGTCTGTTTGGAGTGGGGCCGGCTGCAGGCCTGTCCCTGCCTTCGCTGTCTTTTCTTTCACGGTCAAACACCCGCCATTGTTGGCCGCCTTGTGGACGCCGACTCACTCGGCCTGTGGGTCGGGCTGTTCTGCTTTCATTTTGCTTAGGAGCATATTTGTTTCTCTGGGGTGGACGCTGGGTCCCAGGGTGACTGTCTCCTTTGTGCATGAGGACCTGAGGCCATGCTCAGATGGTCACTTTATATGCTGGAACCTGGCCACCCCAGGGCAGTGAGCGCCCGCCATGCAGTGCCAGCTCCCTGTGT